AATACTTATCACTTGCAATCCTAAATCAATTTTTTATTGAAGAAAAATCTTTAATTCTTTTAAGAATAAGTAATGAATAAAAAATAAATATATAAATTATTATACTCCATTCGTTTCTTAAAACCCTTCCTCTTTCATTTTTTTTGTTTTTCTTAAAACACTTCCCTTTTCTATTAAAAAACCACTTTTACCCCTACTTTTTCATATCTTACCTATCACATCATACTTTTTCACTAATAACTAAATTATCACATCTTATTTTTACCCATCACATCAAGGGCAAAATTGGAAAGTCAACTAAAATTACACTTTTCTTATTTCTACCCAAAGTCAAAACAAGAACCGTTTTGAGAAACGAAGGGAGTATATTTATATATTACTAATCATATATCAAACTTCAAACTGCCATAAAAATTAATTTTAGTACAATGGTCGATCTTCTGTGGCACGGCGAACAAAGGCCGGTAGGCGACGGGAAAGAGAGATGGAGAATCGACAAAGGTTAAGGTTCAAAATTAAAGATTCGAAATAGAGAACTAGGGAAGAGGAGTCAAATGTGGAGAGAAAATAGGGGTTACTAAATTTTATGCGCAAAACGCCGTTGTTTTACTCCATTTTTTTTAAAAAGAAAAAACCGACTCTAAAAGACGAAGGTGGGATTCAAAATTAAAATTTGAAATAGAGAATTGGGGAAGAGAAGTCAAATTTGCAAAGAAAATATGGGTTATGCATTTTAGTTTTTTTTTTTTGAAAAGAAAAAACTGACTATAAACTCCATACTCTTTTTTAAAAGAAGGAAAAAGAGACTATAAAAAAACGCCAAGATGGGGGGGGTCGAACTTGGGCAAAGAAAATATGGGTTATGCATTTTAGTTTTTTTTTTTGAAAAGAAAAAACTGACTATAAATCCATACTCTTTTTTAAAAGAAGGAAAAAGAGACTATAAAAAAACGCCAAGATGGGGGGGTCGAACTTGGGCAAAGAAAATATGGGTTATGCATTTTAGTTTTTTTTTTTGAAAAGAAAAAACTGACTATAAATCCATACTCTTTTTTAAAAGAAGGAAAAAGAGACTATAAAAAAAAACGCCAAGATGGGGGGTGGGGGTCGAACTTGGGCTCCTAGAGTTATTGGGACGAAACGCACGCTTCCAATGAACCAAACGCCATTTTGGTATTATGCCGCTACGCGTAGTTTATATATTAATAGAAATCATCCTAAATAGGACTAAAACATAGAGAAAAGTACCAAAATAGGACTTTCATGTTTTTTTCTCTGGAATAGGACTTTGCACTGTGGTAATGTGACATTCCATTGTGGTAATGTGGCATTGTACATGTGCAAATTACTATACTTTTTTGGTAATGTATATGACCATGTTTGGTAATGTAACTCCTATTTCGGGAATAAAAACATTGAAGTCCTATTTTGGTATATTTTCAATGTTTTAGTCCTAGTTTAGTCTTTCTCCCATATATTAAACGTATTTACAAACCTAATACCTATATGGACCTACACCGGGGTCCGTGGGGTCCCGGGACCCCATAGGACTCAAGGTGCGTCCGCCTCTGTTGTTGTTCATGCTATTATTATTATAATTATTATGTTCATAAATATAGATTATTTTTCTATTTTTATTTTTTCCCATGTCACTTCTTTTTGATTTGCACTCATTATTATTTTTCGTTGATTTTTAATATTGGTAATACGGAGCATAATTTTATTGGGAAAATTTGTTGTTTTTTAATTTACATGGCCCTAAACGATTTCTAAAAATTAGAAATATTTTATTAATTTAAACTGATCTCAGGAAAACATCAATACTTTAGATTAAAAAAATAATAATTATATTACTTCCTTTGTCTCTAATTAAATGGCACGTAAACCATTCACGAGGTCAAATTTTATTTACTTTCTTTACCAATTATATATGATAGTTATTGATGGGGAGTATTATTGATGGGGAATGATGAAAAAATGTTTATAAAAGAAAAATATTTTGGATAACATTCTTTTTAACGAGGAAAGAGAGAAAAAGTACAAAAATAAAAAAAAATCACAACAAATGCGACGGAAAAGAAAAATGATGTAAAAAAATAGAAGTAAGACTACAACTAATCCACTAGGAATGTGGCAGAGTAATTGTGAAATCGGCAAATATAACGCCAATATGGAGAACTGGAGAAGCGCTGGTTATTCGGATATCCCATATCTCCAGATATTAGTTCTAGATTTCTTTTGTACTCACCAAACAACTTTCTTGGATTTTGATATCTTAGATATCAAAACTCAGGGTCCGTTTGGTACACGTAATTGATGGAATTAGAATTGAATTGGAATTAAAATTCCATGAAATTCAATTCCATAGAATTGATTTCACCAATTCCAATTCATTTTTTGCACTACCAATTCTAAATCCACATAATTTTTGTGCTACCAAACACGAGAATTAGAATTGAAATCCTCAATTCTAATTCCATAGTTTGAATCCCGTGTACCAAACGTGACCTCAAAGTCCATTTGGTATACAAAATTGATGGATTTAAAATTAAATTGGAATTGAAATTTTACAAAATTCAATTCCATAGAATTTGATTTCACCAATTCCAATTTATTTTTTGCAGTTAATTTCAAATCCACATAATTTTTGTGCTACCAAACATTAGAATTAGAATTGAAGTCTCCAATTCCAATTCCATAATTTAAATTCCGTATACTAAACGAGGCCTCATATTTTTTTAACTTACCAAACAAACCCTAACACTATGTTTGGTTCAAAGAATTTGATAGGAAAAGAAAAGAAAATGGTTTTCCCTCATTTTCCTCACCAAAATGAGAGGAATTTGGTTTTCCTTTCTCTTATTACATTTTGCCTTCTCTTTTTTTTTTTCTTCCACTTTTCTTTTTTTTTTTCTCTCTAACCAAACAAGAAAAATATTTTCCTTCTCATATTCTTTTCTTTTCCATCTCAAATTCCTTGAACCAAACATAGTGTAAGAGTCCAAGATTTTGAGGTACAATCCTACTATAGAACAGAACCAGTTCTCAAGTAAAGGTCACAACAATCCAAGATTAATTCATCGTACAAGCCATGTTACTGAAGTGCAATTGTAGTTTATCTATTTCTAATTTTTAATTTCAACCCTACGTTTTTTCCCTCATATTCTCTCTTTCTTCTCCAAAAAGGATGGGGGAGTGGAACTGCAGAAGAAGAAAGGAGAGAATCTGAGAGAAAAGAAAAACGGCGGAGCCAAGATTTAAAATTCTAAATATATAAAATTATAATTACGCCCAAAGTGACCTAATAGTTAGCTGAAATTTACCCCAAATACCCCTGAGTATATGAAATTCCAAACTGGGTGTTTAAAAAGGACGATGCTACGTTCACAAACAGGATTGGTCACAAACTCTACAAACTTACTATTTATGATTTAAATTCTCATTTTAAAATTATTTTAGACTATTTAATTTTTTTTATAGAAATTAAAAATTGTAAGTTTGTGAAGTTTGTAATGATTGTGCTTGTGAACCAAGCATTTCCCGTTAAAAAATTAAAGGTAGCAGCAGCAGCTGCTATTGCAGCTATATGGACTTAATGACATAAACTTTAATGACAAACTTTAATAGAACATACTCCGTAGCAAAATCAAGTACAGCGCATAACACAACAATTTTATTATTAAAAGAAAAAAAAAGGGAAGGGAGAGAACATAAGAGGGCAGAACAACACCCAGTAGTAGACCTAACTGGAAAGCTCATCCCAAGGCCATGACCGATTAATTAACTGGGATCATCTCACTGCAAAAGGGAAATAACAGAAATCATTTAATGCATACTTTAGGACCCATTTGGTATCCATACTCAAGATTATTTGGCTGAAGTTAATGTTACTGAACTTTTTTCCTTGAAAAATTCAATAGATTAAGCCAACTAACCCTTACCAAACAGGCCCATTGTTGTATTAAGATTAGGAGGCTAAGGCTATTAGCAGGTTCTTGGAAGAATGTACCGTTGTTGTTTACATTATATATAATACCTGACGTGGCTGTTGATAGTTGGCTGTATATCCCGGATAACTACCATAGAACATATTAGGGTCCTGAGTTTGAGGGGGAGGGGCATATCCGTAAGCCTCATATCCTTGTCCATATCCATAATACGAACTGCCCCATTTTGTCTGATCTGATGACTGCAGCATCAAAAGAAAAACTGAAAAGATTTGAAGAGAAAATAAGACAATTACACGCAAAAAAGACTCAACAGTAATTGACCTGCTTGTTGGAGGGACTGCGTCCCCATGAAAGCCGAATGCTATGGTCCCCTATCTGTGTGCCCTGCAAATTTGACAGAGCCTGTTCTGCAGAAGCCCTAGACACACGCGCAAACATGCACAAAATATGTGCATAAGGTAAAAAAGTTTTTAAAAACACGTGAAGTGTCAGCTTGGAAAATGCAAAGGGAAGTATAAAGGGACTTTTTTTATTGAACTACTTCACCATGCTGGGAAAACACTTTGAAAATGCCAATCTTTTAATACCTTTCAAAGTTCAAAATCAAAGCCAATGTATCTTAATTACCTAGTAGCAAATTGAACAAAGCCACAACGCTTTCCAGAAACTATTTTTATATGAACTACTTCACCATGCTGAGAAAAAAATTGCCCCAAAAGCTCCTCAGTAACATTGGGGTCCAAACCACCAACAAATATCTGTGCATTGGAGTGCCCGTTAAACAAAATACATTAACATAACAGAAAAAAACACTAAAACAAGCTACCCACTGTTGTATTATTAGGGTCACTCTCGCCTTGACTTGCAGGTGGGTTTAGATATGTAGCTGCAATGAGCAAGAGGAGAAATACAAGGATGAGGTAAACAGGATTAACAAATTGTGTTCCTCAATGAAATCTTAAAACAACCCACATCATGTGCACAAAAAAGAAATAACAAGCATGCAATGCCATGATAGAACTACAAATTGCAATTTTAACAACCAAAAGCACAGCAAACATTGCACACATCTAAAATAGTAAAATCATGATACTCATATGAGAAGAATAAGATCGGGGCAAAGCAACAAAAAAGCAATTAAAAATGTAAATCAACAATGATATTTCAATACTCTCTGACATCAAAAGAAATGGCAGAAGTAGGGCAAAGATTATCATAACAGAAAGAACAACCAAGCTTGAACCACATATCAACGGGTTAGCTTTCTAGTGATTGGCGTGCATAACTGCATCCCGTAACAATACATGCTTACAACTCTACCATGCAGTGTTCATCAATTCAATTTACCTCCTTTCACCATTAGCTCTGCAAGTCTAGACAAATAACGAAATTCCTAACACAATCAATTGAATCCAATATATACAACAACGGGGACACAAGATATATACGAGTAATAGATTAGCACTTCTCTCTAAAAAAAATGTAAAAATTGAACACAACTAGATATGTACACCCTCCTTAATCCTAATGACCAATGAAGAAAAATTAACTTAGTATGACTCATGAGCTGAAACTTAGAAACAACAAAAATGGAAATGTGAGCAGCTTGCAGCAGCAATGTTTAACTGGAGGAAACGAATCACCCCATAAAATGAAAAATGAAAGGGAAAAGTGATACTTTAGGATTGATAGGAACTGGAAAAGAAATATACGGAAATTTAATGCTTGGCAATCCAGAAAATAAATTTGTCGGGTGCTGAATTCAAAACGAACTGGAAAGTAACTTAGTGTAGCATAAGAAATGCCACAAAAAATTGAAGGAAGCTTACGGCATAAGCAAATTAACTGACCTAAAATGATGCCACGCACTAAATGGTAATCATTTCAGCTGAAATCAGTTCCAGGCCCCCATATACGAGAGCCTCTTTGTTTCCTGCTTTGACACAACATGACTTTAATAAGTTTGAGCAAGTTTCGAATAATTTAAGCTGCCCAAGTTTAGGAAAGAAAGAACAGGAAAAAAATGACTTGGTAAATTCTGTGAATCTTGAAGTGTATGACTCAAAGAGAAATGAACTATAATCTCTATCTGTGTAAACTCGAACCCCTCTTCAAGAAAGGTGCCACATCAACAAGCATCAATTTAACCATAAATAGAGCACACCGAACAGTTTGAGCAAACTTCTATGAAACAAAAAACAGAAAGAATGAACCGGACCCTGGAATTCCAGTGCATAAGTATATAACCTACCTTTCTGCGGCGCACCAACCGGCTGTTTATTAGCAGGGCCAACACGCATGGGCCTTGTTGAGCACAGCACTCCATTCATCTCAGTGAGGGCTCGAAGTTGTTCGCTCTCATCCGCAAATTTGACAAATCCATAACCCTTTGAGCATCCCGTGTTCTTATCAGTAACAACCTTAGCACCTTTCACCGATGGGTAGACAGCTTTAAATGTTTCTTGTAGCAAGTAATCATTCACATCCGCAGACAAATCACCCACAAAAATTGTATGTTCAGGTGTGTTATCCCGTCTTTCACCAGCTCCAAGTGTTGCCCAATTCATTCTGAAATACTTGTCTGATGTACTTGGCATCAATGTTCCATTATACGTTTGCAAGATAGCCTCAGCTGCGGCACGGCTCCTGAACTCAATAAATCCATAACCCTCAGGTTGAGCAGTGAATTTGTTGCGAATGACCTTCACGGATGCAATCTGAAACCAGAACCCAGATGATTAGCTATGTCCTTGAAAAGCATTCAGTCAGAGTTTATGCCAGATAAATAGGTTCATTTAGAACGTTAGAAAAAATTTTGATTTGAATTAAGAGAAGCCAATTCTTCTGGCATAATCAAAATATTGGCAATTAAGAAATACTCCATAACAGGTAGTGAAAAATAATCAAGAACAAAATATACTCCGTGAATTGCAAAAAATAACATCAATAAAAGATGCACCTCTGCAGTATGAGAAAAGCATCCACTAAGATAGCTCTCGTCCATCCAATACTGCAAGTCACCGATCCATAGAGACTTAACTTCATTGGGGCTGGACGAAGCGGCTGGGGATGTGCCTGTATATGCACCGGAATACTGTTGCGATGGATGGGTTTGATAAGGAGCGAGCATGGGATGTGACACCGGCGGCGGCTGTTGCGCCCAGGCGGCCGGATGCTGTGGCTGCATAGGCGGCTGCGGCGGATGCAGCATCCAGGGCTGAGGTGGTTGTTGGTACTGCTGCTGCTGGGACGGATCTGCAGACATGGGAGGCATCGGTGAAGGGACCATGCTGCCTGGTTGCATCATCGTAGAAGCGGAATCGAGATTTGGCTTTAACCCTAGGGTAAAGGGGGAAGAGAGATGGAGAAAAACTACGAGTAACGTTCGCACCGTGCCTCGCGAGTCGACTCTCGATCTAAATATAGAGAGAGCGCGGCGTAAATCAGAAATTGTTTTAGATTCTACAATGTAGATTATAAAAAAAATCTGTTTAGATAGGATTAAAAAAAATGAAAATATCAAAATAAGAGTTAAGTCTTTTAACACCAAACTAGAATAAGATCTGTGTAGTCTAAAGGTATATGTTTGCAGTGTGATGAAAAGCGATGACATTGTAATATGTTACTGTGGTCAGTCAATTGTCGGTGATCCACGGCATCACTCTGGTGGATGGCTGCTACGGATGAAAGTGATGCGGTGATAGTGTGACAATTACAATGTGACAATGTGATGAATATAGCAGTGTAAAAATGACAGTGTGAACTTCTATTTTGATCTTAAAAGACTTATGACTCTTATTTTAGTATTTTTATAATTTTTTACACTTATTTAGGGAGTTCTTCCACATTAATTTATATATATATATATATGTGTGTGTGTGTGTGTATGTATTGATAGATTCTAAAGGGTAGGGGTAGTAGAAATAAGCTTGCAGTTTAATTACTCAGAATCCGATCTTGTTGAAGGAGGTCTATTCATACACTCGTTTTTGGGCTGGTACCCTCTTTTCGCTAGTCAAAATATATCCAACTCTGCGTAGATTTAAAACAATTTTTTGATTTTATATAATCTATGGATTTTAAATAATTTATCAAAATCTTTTAAAATCAGTACCCTTAATTTGATACCGTCGGAGTTTTAAATTTCAAAGCATTAGCTCACTCTACATGATTAAATTGGAAAAACATGAATAAATACCATATTGTAATAAAATTAATAACACAAAAATGGATGTAGTATGTGCTAGTATGAAAGAGACCTGATTTTTTAAATAATAAAAACCTTAAAAAAATTTGACCACAGAAACCATGAATTTAAACAATCAATAGAAGGAAAAGAAATACCAGCTGCCTTGTCAAGAAAAAAAGAAAGAAAGAACCAAGGCTTTGTCCACTACGGAGTACATCATCTACGCCATCAAAATAATGGGTCATGAGTGCATGTTACTGAGCAGTTTGAGAGCCAATTCCTCTTGCTCTGCCAAGGAAATAGGATCCGTCCTCATACCCTCTTTAGAAGTCTCACCATTCTCCTTCCCATCGTCATCATCGTCATCATCACTATCAAAACGAATCCTTTTATTTCCCATTTTACCCCTGCGGGCGTCGGCATCTGAACCCAAGTGATCTCCTTCCTCGTCTTCCTCTTCACATTCTCTGTCTCTCCCTCTCTTCAACTTCATCTTCTCCTTGAGTCGTTTCTCTTTCCGGCGCCGGCGGTCCAAATCTTTGTCATCTTTGTCTACCATCTTCAACTCTTTTCTGAGATTGGCATATCTTTCATTAACTGCATCAAGAACATTGAATAGCAATGTCAAGAAATGTGAAATCCAGCTTTCTTTAATGGCCTATGATGCAACCAGAAAGCAATTAAAATGCACCTTTGTTTATGTCAAGAGAAACTTTATCCCCATCAACCACTGCCTCTGCTAACTTTGCTAGTGGAGGTAATGTGTCACCCTTCTCATCAAATACAACCCGTGTCCCGTACGGTCTACCCGCATGAATCTTTAGCTTCTTTTTCTTCAAAACTCTAGATGCGGGCCTATAATAGCATGGAAAGAAAAATGAAGCAAAACAAAATCATTAGGCCTTTTCTCATTAACCACCTTTAGACTATGTTTGGTTCAAGGAATTTGACACGGAAAAGAAAATAGGAAGGAAAGCAATTTTATAAGTTTGGTTAGAGAGAAAAGTAAAAGGAAAATGAAAGGGAAAGAAAATGAGAAGGCAAAATTCCTCCCATTTTGGCGAGGAAAATGAGAAAAAACTATTTTTTTTCTTTTTATTCCAAATTCCTTGAATCTAACCTAGTGTTAAGAGAAAATGTAGTGTGGAGATGTAAACTATCTGAATGCTTCAAAGAGGTAAAGAGTGCATACATATTATCTGCAGGCCCGACTATTTTAATGTTACTTGCAGTAAGCGTGTCTTTAGAAATAAGGGTATCATCATCATCATCAGATTCTACAGCATCTGGTTTCTTAATTGGAAATTCCAGCAAATTCTCATTCCTTTCTGGCATGGCAGCTAAGGCTTCAGACACAGTCTTACCCTTTAATTTCTGCTTCAAAAATCTTAATCTTGGGGTCATTGGAAGACCCAAAGAAGCAGAAAACTCCTCAAGCGGAAGCTTTGTGACATCAAATATTTCTTTATCGCTCCGTATATAAATAGACTTCACATAAGTTGTGAATGCTCTTTGTGCCAGAAGTCGTAGTTCAGGACTCTCAACCAGCAAGGCACCTAATAATCCGGAGATAGATTGCAAGAACTCTGCATTTGCCTTAAAGAAAAATTTAAGATAATAATAATATTAGATTCACCATCTTATTTTATCAAGAAAGAAAAAAGTACTCAAAATTCAAATTCCAATTTAGCTAGAAACTACTCCCTCCGTCCCAATTCCAAAAAGAATTTCCGATTACATATTCACAAGGTCAAACTTTGACCACTTTCCCTTTTCATGAATCATTTGATAAAATAGTAATCTTGACATATTTGTTTTGTATTTTTATGTAATTTTCAAATGATCCCTCTGTCCCACAACGATTTGCCCGATTTAGATTACAATGTTTTTATTTTCAATTCAATTTATATGATAATTGGAATAAAAAAACCAAAATTTATATATTTAAAAACTACAACAAAAGTTCTTCGAAACAAAAGGTGACAACAACCCAATTCAATCCCACAAAAGTTTTGGGGTGAGGGTGTGAGGAGACCTTACCTCTACTAAAAAGTAGAAAGGGTGTTTGGACCCAAACTTGAGTAACACAGAAAACATATAGCACGATAAGAAAATGAAAGAGCAAATTAGGGGTAAGAAAATGGAATGATGGCACACGCAACAATAAGAAATTAAAACTACCACCCAAGTTAAACACCCACCCAACAATGTTAAGTCATGCCTAATCACCTCCTTCCAATTTTTCCTAGGTCTACCCCTTCCCCCATCTCCCGTACCAGGGCTTGTAACGCTACGCTGCTTCACAGGACCAAATCATCTCAACCTAGCACATCACAACTTATCCTAAATAGGTGGCACACCCACCCTTCCACAAATAACCTCATTTTGAATCCTATTCAAGCTTGTATGCCCACACATCCACCGCAGCACCCGCATCTCTGCTGCATGCAGTTACTCATTTTATCAAATGAGTAATGAAATTAAGCAAAGAAAGTGATAAAAATTGACCCTGAAAAAGTGAATGGGCAAATCTTTGTGGGACAAGCATCGTGCAACCCGCAACAGGAGTTCTAGGGACAAATGGAGTAGTGCGTATATTGCAAGGTTTCACTTCATTGAAGATTTTAAAAGATAATCCATATATGAAACCAAAAGGTTCATAAGCCAGCTCGAGTATTTTATAACTAGATGGAGCAATATAATTCATACCTTTGTGACTTGAAGGGGTATCTTATTCTCTTCTAACCTCTCAACAATTTTTGTTTCAGAAGGCATAACAAACAAAAGAGATTTCCCAATAGAAATGTAACGAGCAGTACGGCCAACTCTATGTAAGTAAGCTGCACAATCTTCGGGACAGTCCACCTGAATCATAAGTTGGCCAACAAGAGCAATCAAATTTCCCACTATATTGAAATGAGAACACATTATTTTCTTCAATAACTTTGTAGTTAACCTGGACAACCCAATCAACAGGCTTGTTGAAATCAAGGCCCCGTGAAGCAAGATCTGTGGAGAAAAGAACGGATCTGGTTTCCTCGCAAAATTGGGATAATATTGCCATCCTTTTCTCTATTTTCATCTTTCCATGAAGACATTTAAGTGGAATTCCAGGCCGAAGCTTCCTAAATGCTTCATGAACAAATTTTACCTGTAGAATGTATACTCATAATCAGAAAAGGAATCAGATTAACAAAGATTAGACAATGTAGAAAGACTAAGAAATTCACCCTCACAAGTGGGTATATCAAGGAAGAGATTTTAGTCCCTTCCTCTTCACAACCACAATGGATGTGGTAATAAGGTCTATCCAAGCAGTACCATATATGATGATTGTATACATTATTTGTTGGTTGATGACTGATGCGTCAAAAACAGGGATTAATGTTAAGTCAAACTACAGAGATAAGCTACAGTCACATGACTTTAACATAAGATGATGTAAAATCAACTACGACTATAAATAAGGGGTATGTGTTTCTCAAGTATATAAAATCTCTCGTATATATAAAAGAAAGGTGTGAAACACATGATCGATATATGTATGATAAAAATAGAAATGTGGCAATACTACAAAAGCAAGAGTTCACAGTACAAAGAATCATGACGTCGGTTGAGAATTAGCTCTGGAAGATATAACAAAACAGAACTGAATATGTTGGTTTGGGCATGTTTGTTATAATAGATTGAGGGTGTAAAAAGAACATAACGGGACAATGGAATTGGAACAAGTCATTTGAGCAACACAATGGAATTGAGACAAGTCATTTGAGATTAAGGCTCTATATTTTCACTACTTAGAGCTTGTTCTTTAGAGCTTAAACTATTAACTTCCAATTTCTTTCAGTCTATCAAATTATTCCCATTTTCTTCAATCTTTTTCTACTTTCCAAATAATGACTCTAAAATGATACATTTTCCATGTATTATAAATATTATTATTATTATTATCATTATTATTATTATTATTATTATTATTATTATTATGTTCACAACTATGGTTTATAAATTTTTTCAATTTTTTATTTTAATTTTTTCCATGTCAATGTCGTAGTGATTCACACTCATTATTTTTTCTTGCATTTTTTAATATAAATAATACAAAGTACAATTTTATTGGGATAATGATTTTTTTTATTAATTTACATGTTACAAAACTATGTTCCACAAATTTTGGATATTTTATTAATCTAAAT